TAAAATGCTCCATGTCGTTTACTTCCCCATTCAAGAAAAAAAAAAAAGATCCCAATACATCTCTCAGGAGCAAAACTACTGCAGAATTTCTATAGGAACAGCTGTATAGGATATTTTTATTCCCTCCCCAAAATGATCTGAAGCAAAGGAACAAAAGAAAGTTCAGTCCAAATCATTGTGCACTGATCAACATGGTTAAGCAGAATGTGATTTTTTTTAACAGTATACATGTAATAATGAAGCCATTTCTGAAATGCTAATCCATCATCCTCCATGGTAAACACAGTTCTGGTGAATGTCAAACAGCAAGGGAGAGACCCACAAGCTAAGTAATGACAGGACCTGAAACTAAATAGTAAGTTGCTTTTGGTAGTCTGCAAATGGAGTTTTGTCCAATCCAAATGTTGAACAAAAAGTAAACGGACATTTCAATTTCATTAATCTTCCTGCTTTTTCATTCTTAATATTTTCCTCTTGTTCCTCTCAGGTCTCAGCAGAATAATGTAACATTTGGGGGAAAAGATGCAGCCAAGCAACCCAGCACTGGATGATAGGATGGAGAAGATCTCCACAGCTGCCATGTAGTTCCCCTTGGTGCTCAGGTAAGTGGGAACAAAAGATAACCAGACACTGCAAAAGACCAGCATGCTGAAAGTGATGAACTTGGCTTCATTGAAACTGTCGGGTAACTTCCTGGCAAGAAAAGCCACAATGAAACTGCTAACTGCCAGGAAACCCATGTAACCCAAGACACAGTAAAACATGGTCACAGAGCCCTCATTGCATTCCAGTACAATTTGTTCATTCAGGTACTCCATGTCAGCATCAGGGAATGGGGGAGAGGTTACCAGCCACACAACACAAAGGCCAGCTTGGATGAGGGAACAGCCAAACACAATGGAGATGGACAGTCTCTGCCCCACCCAGTTTCTCATCCAACTTCCTGGCTTGGCAGCCATGAAAACAAGAACAATGGTGATGGTTTTTGCCAGCACGGAAGATACAGCGACTGAAAAGGTGATACCAAAGACTGTTTGTCGGAGCAGACATGTCGCTTTCTCAGGATGGTTGAGGAAGAGCAATGCAGAAAGGAAGCAGAATATGAGGGAGATGAGGAGTATGTAGGTGAGGTTCCGGTTATTAGCTTTGACTATAGGAGTGTTCTGGTGCTTCACAAAAATTGCTAGCACTAGAGCCGTGATGAAAGAAAAGAAAAGCGCAAAGAAGACTAAACTGAATCCAAGAGGTTCTTCAAAAGACAAGTATGTTACACATTTTGGGATGCAAAGGACATGCTCTGTGTTTGGATGATGATCTTTTGGACATTTGATGCAGTCATTCATGTCTGAAAAGGAATAGCATAGTCTTATTTTCATATCCTTATAGGGGCATCCATCTCAGACATTGCAAAGAATACTACATGAGAAGAGAGATTGCAATAAAATTTATCGGTCCCATATAGAGTGTTTCTGGATTTCTCCCATGCCTTTAAATTAATGCTCAGAATGGAGTATGCTAGAGCCCATGGCCAGCCAGCTCCATCTCACAGTCTAACCCCTCCTGCCAGTTAATGATAGCAAGTAACTGAGTCACCAGCGTTGACTCAAGGGAGGCCATAAAGGAGTAGTGCAACCTGGAGCATCGTTACTAGTCCCAGGTTCTCCCTTTATCTTATCTGGCTGTAATACCTAAGGAAAGCTGAAGGGGCATGGAAGCTAATTCAAAAGCAATAAGGTATCTCTGAAACTGAAAGAAAGCCTGATGACAGTAAACATGAACCCTAAAGAAAATTAAAATGCAGGGCTGAAAATACTCTTCCGTTCAACCTTTGAAATGCATATAACCTGTTTTGCAATCTTTCTCACAGTAGTACAAAAATACAACCTTGAATGAATGTCACTATTACTCCTACATCATGTGCAAGTTACTGGAAAGATCATTTTTAAGGGCAGATGAAAACTGGACCTTGTGCTGGCTGATTCATCCCGTAGCTGTGTGCATCTCTCCTGCATCACCCTGATGCTCATAAGAAATCTTGAATGTCCCTCACCCATTTGACTTGCCACCTTCCCTTCTGGACATGGGA